CTAATGAGTTATGCTAATGAGTTCCCCTAGCTCTTTTTCTACGAAATGACCCCTGATTATATATAAGGAGAGATAGTTATAAACAGAACACGTTAATTTACAAAAGTTTCATGCAGTGTATATTTATTCATTACTTGACTCTCTTAAACACCTGAAGGCTGGCAACCCCATAGATAGCAGCTCCAAAAGGGCCCAAAGTTGGTTGAGTGGCTGTCGCTCTCTGCCCCTGCTCACCTTAATTTAAGGTTGCCAACTTCTGGTGGTGAACTTCCTGGAGATTTGGGGGTGGAGCCTGGGGAGGGCGGGGTTTGGGGACGGGAGGGACCACAGTGGGCTGTAATGCCACGGAGTCCACTCTCCAAAGCAGCCATTTCCCCAGGGCAGCTGGTCTCTGTCTTCTGGAAATCAACTGTTATTCCTGGACAACTCTAGACCTGGAGATTGGCAACCCTACCGGGTGATCTGCACTACGCCACAGCTTCTGCTGAATGCTTGCGGTGCACGGCAGAGAGGAGAAGAAGGCCTTACCTTTCCTTTCTTTCAAATATTCCGGGTCCACCAGCACCACGCCGTCTGCAAAACAAACGGAAGAAGAAATAAGAACAAAGCTTCAAGACAGCGGCGATGCGACCTCTGTGCATGGCGAGGCCGACAACTCTATTCTTCTCATTGCAATTGCAGGGGGAGACGCCGTGGTTCAGTGGAAGAGTCTCTGCTTGGCATGCAGAAGGTCCAAGGTTCAATCCTCGGCATCTCCAGTTAAAAAGGAACAGGCAGGAGGTGATGGGAAAGACCTCAGCCTGAGCCCCCGGAGACCCATGGAGAAGGGCTGTGGCTCAGTGGTAGAGCATCTGCTTGGCATGCAGAAGGTCCCAGGTTCAATCCTCAACATCTCCAGTTAAAAAGGAACAGGCAGGAGGTGATGGGAAAGACCTCCGCCTGAGACCCTGGAGAGCCATGGAGAGGGGCTATGGCTCAGTGGTAGAGCATCTGCTTGGCATGCAGAAGGACCCAGGTTCAATCCCTGGCATCTCCAGTTAAAAAGGAACAGGCAGGAGGTGATGGGAAAGACCTCCGCCTGAGACCCTGGAGAGCCATGGAGAGGGGCTATGGCTCAGTGGTAGAGCATCTGCTTGGCATGCAGAAGGACCCAGGTTCAATCCCTGGCATCTCCAGTTAAAAAGGAACAGACAGGAGGTGATGGGAAAGACCTTTACCTGATACCCTGGAGAGCCAGGGAGAGGGGCCATGGCTCAGTGGAAGAGCCTCTGCTTGGCATGCAGTCCTCGAAAGAGCTCTTTCAGCCCTACCTGCCTCACAGGGTGTTTGTTGTGGGGAGGGGAAGGAGTTTGTAAGCCGCTCTGAGACTCCTTTGGGTACTGAAGGGCGGGCTATAAATTCAATCTCTTCTCTTCTTCTCCTCTACAAAGTCAGATAGTAATTTCATTTTGTTTCCTTCATTTATATCTTCTCCTGTAATCTGAAGCGGTAGAGCCCAGAGAGAGTTTATCTATTGGCTTCATTTGTTTCCCGCTTTTCTCCCCAATGGGAACTGAAACCAGCCGACATCCATCTCCTCTCCTCAATTTTATCTTCCTGACACCCCTGCGAGGTATGTTAGGCCGACAGTGCGTGACTGGCCCAAAGTCACCCCGCAAACTTCCAAGGCAGCGTGAGGATTCGAACCTGGGACTCCCAGCTCCTAAGCTGACACTTGATCCACTAAATCACAGTGGCTTTAGAGACAGGAGCGAGACGTGCTGGAGAAGGAAGGGGTGCAAAGAGGGTCTCTTGCAATGCTCCCTCTAAGCTGCGGAGTCTTGTGAGCAAAACTCTGTGAGCTCCTGGAATTAAAGTTGTGAGCGAGTGATTTGGCTGCTGCATCAATTCGTTTGCTCTGGAGTCAGGGCTATTTTTGGGCAAGTTCCGGCTGGCTCCCAAGTTGACCATGCCTGGCAGGAACTCATTAGCATAATAGGCCACACCCAATAGCAGATTGGCTACATTAGGGGTGTGTGGCCTAACATGCAAAGGAGTTCCTGTTACAAAAAAAGGCCCTGGGTTTTGACAACAAACAAGGTAAACAGAATAAGAAGGGAAAGGTGGGTGTGGATGGATGACTATACTTCTGGTAACATGGGGGTGTGGCCTAATATGCTAATGAGCTATGCTCTCATGGGTGTGGCTGGATATGCTAATGAGTTTCTGTTGTTGGGTGTGGCCTATTATGCTAATGAGTTCCTGCTGGGCTTTTTCTACAAAAAAAGCCCTGTCTGGAGTCATTCCTTCCTGAGCAAAGACAAAAATGTGTGAGCCGGAGGCTAAAAAAACCTCTGAGCTAGCTCACACTATCTCAGCTTACAGGGAACACTGAGTGCAAAAAAAGGGGGAAAGACTAGCGTCACAGAAGTCCCAAATACACAAATTCCACTAGTAGAAAACACCATCAAAAATTGCCAAACAATTTCTTTAAAAACAATTCTGGTTTTTGATATGTGTTTTCGAGGTTAGGCATTTGTGTATAAATCTCTTTACAGTTCCACTTACACAGCCGGCAAACTGAAGAAGTCGAAGGAAACGCATCTTCCAAGTATCTAGAACAGGCGTATCTGCAAAGGCTGTTTGGACACTATGACTATGTGGACTCCTCCTATCAAGCAGCACTGATTACATGGACTTTATGTCTTATCTACAAAGGAGGAAATATCGTATCTTATGCCTTATTATCGTTACAGTATGCACTAATGTTGTTCTTGTGACACCACCAACTTTATAATTGTTTAATATATTGTTTTGGCAATTTTTGATGGTGGAATTTGTATATTTGGGACTAGAGGGAACACTTGGCTTGCTAAATGAAGGCTGCTCATAGGGGTGCCATCTCCAGGTTGGGGAGATTCCTGGAGATTTGGGGTGTGAAGCCGGGGGAGGGTGGAGTTTGGGAAGGGAAGACGGAAGAGGAGGAGGAGGAGGAGAAGTTGGATTTGTACCCCACCCTTCACTTGGTGTCTCAGAGCGGCTCACAACCTCCTTTCCCTCCCCCTCCCCGCAACGGACACCCTGTGAGGTGGGTGGGGTCTGAGAGAGCTCTTTCGAGGACTGCCCTTGAGAGACCACCTCTGAGAGAACTTGTGACTGATCCAAGGTCACCCAGCCGGCTGCATGTGGGGGGGGGAGTGCGGAATCGAACCTAGTTTTGCAGATTACAGTCTGTCACTCTTAACCACTACGCCAAACTGGCTCTCAGAGAGGCCTCCAACAGGGCGTAGTGCTGCAGGGTCAACAACCTGCAAAGCGACCATTTTCTCCAGGGGAGCTGATCCTTGTCGACTGGAGATTAGCAGTAATTCCAGAAGGTCTCCTGGCCCTGCCTGGGAGGTGGCAAGCCCAGCTCCCCCACCTTGGCTTCGGCTGGGGAGAGGCCTGAACAAAGCCCCCCACCCCATCCCAGCGGGCACCTGACCAGTTTTCAAAGGCGCAAAGGCACTGATACGGAGGTCGGCGTCAGCAGGGCCGGAAGCCTTGGTTTAAAATCAATACAACAATCCACCTGAGCGTCAAACAATGCATTAAACGCCCCCAAATTTAATCAGTGGGCAGGGAGGGGAAGTGGTCTTTGATATCCAAGACCGCCCTTCCGTCCCCCATTAACACATTCTCCGATCGCTCCCGAGGACACGGCATCCGCGCTGAGGTTTCGGTAACACGCAATTTGATATCTAATTCACCGGTTAAAAGGCAGAGGGTGAACAGCGCGATCTTAATTAGAGTGATACCGATTCTAAATCCAATAAAATCAGTGGGGCTCGACTGGTTGAACCCTGTTTAGGAGAGAGGGAGAGAGAAATTCACGGTGGGGGGCAATGAAGCTGCCTTGTACCGGATCAGACCCTTGGACTATCAAGGCCGCTATTGTCTACTCAGGCGGGCAGCTGCTCTGCAGCGTCTCAGGCAGAGGTCTTTCACCTGATCCTTTTATTTGGAGATGTTGGGGGGATGAATTTGGGACCTTCTGAATGCCAAGCAGATGCTCTACCACTGAGCCACGGCCCCTCCCTAAACACACATGAACCTGCCTTATACTGAATCAGACCCTTGGTCTATCAAAGTGAGTAATGTCTACTCAAGACGGGGAGCGGCTCTCCAGGGTCTCAGGTAGAGGTCCTTCACATCACCCTGCAACCTAGTCCTTTTAAACTGGAGATGCCGGGGGTTGAACTTGGGACCTTCTACATGCCAAGCACATGCTCTGCCACTGAGCCACAGCCCCTCTCTACAGTTCTCCAGGGTCTCAGGCAGAGATCTTTCACATCACCTCCTGCCTGGCCTTTTTAACTGGAGATGCCGGGGATTGAACCTGAGACCTTCTGCATGCCAAGCAGAGGCTCTTCTACTGAGCCACAGCCCCTCTCCATGGCTCTCCAGGGTCTCAGGCAAAGGTCTTTCACATCACCTACTGCCTGGTCCTTTTCACTGGAGATGCCAGAGATCGAACCTGGGACCTTCTGCATGCCAAGCAGAGGCTTTGCCACTGAGTCATGGCCCCTCTTCACATCTCTCCAGGGTCTCAGGCAGAGAGAAGTCTTTCCCATCACCTCCTGCCTGGCCCTTTTAACTGGAGATGCTGGGGACTGAACCTGGGACCTTCTGCATGCCAAGCAGAGGCTCTTCCACTGAGTCACAGCCCCTGTCTCTGTCTCTCCAGGGTCTAAGTCTGAGGTCTTCCACATCCCCATCAGATCTTTTTACTGGGGATGCCGGGGATTGAACCTGGGACTTCCTGCATGCCAAGCAGAGGCTCTTCTACAAGCCACGGCCCTTCTCCATGACTCTCCAGGGTCTCAGGCAGAGAGAGGTCTTTCCCATCACCTCCTGCCTGGTCCCTTTTAACTGGAGATGCTGGGGATTGAACCCGGGGCCTTCTGCATGCTGAACAGAGGCTCTTCCACTGAGCCACGGCCCCTCTCCTTGGCTCTCCAGGGTCTCAGGCAGAGGTCTTTCCCATCACCTACTGCCTGGTCCTTTTCACTGGAGATGCCAGAGATCGAACCTGGGACCTTCTGCATGCCAGGCAGAGGCTTTGCCACTGACTCACGGCCCCTCTCCATGACTCTCCAGGGTCTCAGGCAGAGAGAGGTCTTTCCCATCACCTCCTGCCTGGTCCCTTTTAACTGGAGATGCCGGGGATTGAACCCGGGGCCTTCTGCATGCCGAGCAGAGTCTCTACCACTGAGCCATGGCCCCTCCTCATCCTCAATGCCCTGCCTGCCATCGATTCAAAAGTCTTCCATTGCTATGCAATTAAAACAGCAAATCACGTCAGGGTGGCAAAGTGTTCTTCTGGGCCTGGGTCCTGGATTTCTGAAGCCTGGACGAGTGCCGAGGCAGAGTTGATCAGAGACCTTCTCTTGCCTGCAAAAGTTAATTAACTTCTTCGGACGGGGAGGCAGCCAGAAAAGAGGGAGGGCCGGAGGGACGCGCTCAGAGTGAAGGAAGCTGTGGCAGCCTGGCAGGGATGAGTCAGCTGCTTGCAAATGTCCAGGGAGAGACACTTCCAAACCGAGAAAGGTTTTGCTAGCGGCTTAATGGGCGATCAAAGGCAAGGTTGTAATTAAATATGGGGGGGGGCTCTATGCCCCCAGCAGGCACCCACAGACCTGGAGATCGCAGGGAACCGGAAACGCCCGGTGACCTCGGTAATTAATCTGAGGGAGGCGAAAGCATCATGAAAAAGGAATTATTGGCCCGGTGAGAAGCGATGCTAAAGAGCATTTGGCGTTTCCCAGCACCAATTTGCTGGCTCGAGGCCGCCTGGATGGCAGAGAAGGGAAAAGGAACGTGCGGACTCTAATCTGGAAGAACCAGGTTTGATCCCCCACTTCTCCACAGGCAGCTGCTGGTATGACCTTGGGGCAGTCCCAAGTTCTCTCAGAGCTGTTCTCTCAAGGGCAGTTCTGTCAGAGCTCTCTCAGCCCCACCCACCTCACAGGGTGTCTGTTGTGGGGAGGGGAAGGGAAAGGAGTTTGTGAGCCGCTCTGAGACTCCAAGTGAAGAGCGGGGTATAAACCCAATCTTTTCTCCCTCTTCTTCAAGAAAACTCATCCAACGTTCTGTTTATTTAGAAACTCGTCCAACATCCTATTTATTTAGAAATTATTTTTCTCCCCTCTGGGACCCAAAACGGCTTACTCAACATTTTTCTTGTCTCCCCTGCTCTGTCCTCACAACGACCCTAGGACGTGGACTCGGCCGAGAGCATGTGACTGGTCCCAGGTTTTCCAACAGGCTTCCATGGCAGAGTACAGATTCGAACCTTGGTCTCCCCAAATCTTACTTCGACGCTCTAACATTGCCACCACGCTGGCTCCTATGCACGGCTTATACTTGACTTGGATTGTAAAGAGGGCAAGCTATACTCTAGTAACCAATGGTGCCATCCTAAACCGAGTTCCACCGTTCTAAATCCATTAAAGAACTTGGGCTGAGGAGAGCACTACAAAATTACCCAGATCGTGCACCCAGAACACTCCATGAATTTGCATGTATTTATTTACTAGTAGTAAGGCCCGTTGTAAAGCCAATACAACGAGCTCTAGAAAGATCTTGGCCTTGCTCTCATCCTTTGCCGCCTTGTCCTGCATGGTGCTGGCCCCCCAGCTCGCAGCTCGCCCAGCCACCCGTAGCCCGCAGCAGCTGATGACGACCGCTGCGGCACCATCATGGTCGGCCTCGGCCTCCACACCATTCGCGCGTCAGAGCGTCTGGGCCGTCCATCGGCCCCCAGCACAGTGAGCCCAAGACGTTGCCGGTTCTATGGGCTCGTAGCTCGCCCGGCTACCTGTACCTGGCCACGGCCAACGATGGCCACTGCGCCGCCGCCACGGTCGGCCTTGGCCTTCTTACCCTCCGCCCGCCGGAGTGTCCATCCAGTCCATCGCCTTGCACCACACTGAGCGCGAGACTCTGGCTGCCGCTTCTGTGGGCGGGACTCAGGTGGGACTCAGGCAACACAGCCAGTGGATTGGCACACCTTCGGAGTGACAGGTCATGGAGCCAACTGATTTGAACATTCAGCAAAGTGCCACCCCAAAACAGAATTATATATAAAGAGTGATTTATTTATTTATTTTAATCAGATTTATAGCCTGCCCACCCCGCTTGGGACTCACAGTAGCTTTAGAACGTTGTTCTCCCCTGCACCGCTGCTGAGAGCCTGTGACTGGCCCTAGGTCACCCAACGAGCATCCATGTCAGGAGTGGGGATTCGAACCTGGTCTCCCAGGTCCTAGCCTCATGTACTAACCACCACACTCATATTCAATTTGAATATGAGTTTCCAGGGGCCACAATGCACTTGATCGGATATTTGTCAGATACCAGTGATACAGAGCCAGGTTGGTGTAGTGGCTAGGAGCACGGACTCTAATCTGGAAGAACCGGGTTTGATTCCTCACCCCTCCACATGCAGCTGCTGGTGTGGCCTTGGGTCAGTCACAAGTTCTCTCACAGCTGTTCTCTCAGGAGCAGTCCTCGAAAGAGCTCTCTCAGCCCCACAGGGTGTCTGTTGTGAGGAGAGGAAGGGAAAATGGTTTCTAAAGTGCTCTGAGACTCCGAGTGAAGGGTGGGGTATGAATTCAATCTCCTGCTCCTTTTCCTCCTCCAGTGTGGTGTTGAGCTTAGAGTGTGTCAGAGAAAAACACACAAGCTCATCAGGAGGGGTGTCAGACAATTTAGCAGCCTTTTGCATGGTTCTAAAAGGTCAAGTATGTCGCTACTCGCGTCTGGCCCACACCAGTCCCCTACCAATCGGTCCACTTACCCACTGAATCGACAACGTCTATGTGGTCCACAAAGTCCCTCTTGCCCAGGTAGACTGTGAGCTATAAGAAAAAGAAAAGAAAAAACAGGATCAAGAGTTAGCCGGAACCACCGCCCAACTATGAATTTAACAAACAACTGAGACCGATTTCACTCAAGAGTTGTGCCGCGGTCGCGCCTCCCTTTGCCCCGCTTCTATTGGTCAATCTCCCACTCGAAGCTGCGTGGCCGCATTTTGACCCGTGGCTTCGCCCGATTTTCCCCACGGTTTCATGATCCTGTTTTTTTTAGGATCCCGAAACCGCGGGGAAAATCGGGCAAAGCCGTATGTCAAAACGTGGCCACGTGGCTTCGAGTGGGAAATCGACCAATAGAAGTGGGGCAAAGGGAGGCACGACCGCGGCGCAGTTCTTGTGTGAAATCGGTTCCAGATCCTCAAACAGCCTCAGGTCAACGAGCTAAGTATCTGCTACGTTTTCAGAAATATATATACACATTTCTAATCCTGGAGCATATCTCCCAAGAACCCGTATTTGATTGTTCAAATATTGGCTTTTTGGATTGGTAGATACAATGTGAGCGTTTTCTCAAAAAAATATACAGATATGTAGCTGCATTTCATGAATTGGAGTGGGGGCAAGGAAGATTCACTAGGACTGGCTACATTTCTCTCTCTCTCTCTCTCTCTCTAAAAAAATCTCCCTCTCTCTCTCTCTCTCTCTCTCTCACACACACACACACACACACACACACACACACACACACGGACTCTCAGAGGAACGTAAAAGCCCCCCCACACACACACACACGGCCTCTCAAAAAGGAACTTAAAAACCCTGATTTGGCACTGCACATGGCCTTGAGAGCCAGTTTGGTGTAGTGGTGAAGTGCATCTGAGAGAACCAGGTTTGATTCCCCACTCCTCCACTTGCAGCTGCTGGATGACCTTGGGCAAGCCACAGTTCTGACAAGAGCTGTTCTTGAAAAAGAGCCATTTCTGTTAGAGCTCCCTCAGCCCCACCTACCTCACAGGGGGTCTGGTGTGGGGCGGGGAAGGGAAAGGAAAGGGAAAGGAGTTTGTAAGCCGCTCTGAGACACCTTTGGGTAGTGAAGAGCGGGGTATAAATCCAATCTCTTCTTCTTCTTTTACCTCACAGGGTGTCTGTTGTGGGGAGGGGAAGGGAAAGGAGTTTGTAAGCCGCTCTAAGACACCTTTGGGTAGCGAAGGGCGGGGTATAAATCCAATCTCCTCTTCTTCTTCTTAAGTGTGCGGACTCTAATCTGGGAGAACCGGGTTTGATTCCCCACTCCTCCACTTGCACCTGCTGGATGACTTTGGGCAAGCCATAGTTCTGTTAGAGCTGTTCTTGAAAAAAGAGCCATTTCTGTCAAGAGCTCTCTCAGCCCCGCCTACCTCACAGGGTGTCTGTTGTGGGGAGGGGAAGCGAAAGGAGTTTGTAAGCTGCTCTGAGACTCCGAGTGAAGTGCGGGGTATTAATCCAACCTCCTCCTCCCTCTTCCTCTTCCTCCTCCTCTTCTTCTTTCCATAGCTACTTCAATGCAACAGGGGGAAAGATCTCCTCCAAATTTATGAGGCATTTCCTCGCAGATTTCCCCAGTGAAAGAATGAAGGGCGCAAGAGGGCTAACTTTGGCTTAGTGTTCTTCAGACCACCACCCCGCCCAGTAAACCGCTAAGCCCGGAGAGGATAGCCAGAGCCCAGTTTAAGCTCCCTGCTTCTTTGGATAAACTTGCAGCCGACAGATGGCCCTGAGCCGCTTACAGGAGACACAGGATGATCCTCCAAATTGCGGCCCCGCTTTCCAGGGGCTCATCCATCTTACGCGGCATTTAGAAAAAAAGATCGACAAGATTTACGGCACGGCTTGTTCTCTTCCTGTTCGACAGCCTCCCAGCCCTAATCGCCAGTGGCCGGCCGCCAGAGGGGCTCTTGCGGGAAGGAAGGCGAGAGAGACAGAACAAAGGCCGGGCCTTTGGCAAAGGGAAACGGCTCATGTGAACGCAGGAAGCCGCCTTTTACCAGGTCAGATCAAGTGTCCCTGGCTGCCTCTGTGCTGACTGCAAGTCCCGGGTTCAATCCCATCAGTTTTGGGCACCACGTTTGAGGAAGGAGGTTGACAAGCTCGAGCATGTCCAGAAGAGGGCGACCAGGATGGTGAGAGGGTTGGAATCCAAGTCTTACGAGGAAAGGCTGAGAGAGTTGGGTCTGTTTAGCCTGGGAAAGAGAAGGCTTAGAGGGGACATGACTGCGGTCTTCCAAGTATTTGAAGGGCTGTCATGTCGAAGATGGAGCAGATCTATTCTCCCTTGCTCCGGATTGCAAGACTAGATCTAATCGGAGGAAATGACAAGGGAGTCGATAGCGGCTCAGTATCAGGAGAAACTTCCTAACTGTAAGAGCCATGGCTTCTCCCTCCTGTGGTTCCAACCTCTTACTTACATGCAGGAAATTAAGAGCTGGGGAAGAAGAAGAAGAAGAAGAAGAAGAAGAAGAAGAAGAAGAAGAAGAAGAAGAAGAAGAAGAGGAGGAGGAGGAGGAGGAGGAGGAGGAGGAGGAAGAAGA